GGGGGTGAGCGGTGCGGACGGTTCGCCTCCCACCACTGCTCACACTCCCCCTCACCCAACTTTTCCTCCGGTCCCCATCGCCCGCCTGCCACCAAATGATTCAGAACATATAATGCCCTGTCTCCGCTCTTGCCACCAAGTGATCTAGAATATATGATGATACACGTCACCCGCGCACTCACTTACCACACGATGATCTAAAATATATAATGTTTTGTATATCATGTGTGATCGAGGGGTGCTCGGAAAGGTTGAACTAATCAACGAGCTCGATTGGCCCTACTTTTTCACCCATCGCCCAGCCCCATCATCACTCCCCTTATCCACTTTTCCCTAACAATAAGTTACCGAAGGCGCATGCTGCACGCATGTAAGCTTACGTAAGATTTTTACTTTTTTTACGACGACCCACGTTTCCCCTGTGAGCGAGGGGTGAGCGCTGCGGAAGCGAATCAATCAGTGAGTTCGAGTCGCCTCCCACCACCGTCACTCTGTAGTCTATTGGAATAACGTGGAGACGCGTGCTGCACGATTGAAAACTTATACAAGACTGACACTTTTTATGAGGAATGTCACGTTCGTGAATCGTGGCTGTTGCGCACGTTCCCCTCTCCTTTTCTATGATTTATGATGTAAGCTTTCACAGTTATACATAGGATATTTATAACAGAAAATAGAAGCAATATCGATTAATGTGTTTTTTATTTTAATATTCTTACAAATTTATTGAAAACTGATTTTATCATCGTATTCTACGGTTTATAATGCAAACTTTCACAGTTATACGTAGGATATTTGTGTAATATTAAAAAGATGCAATATCGAATAATATATTTTTTTAATATTTTACAAATCTGTTTATTTGCAAAAGCATATGTATACATAACGGAAAGAATACAAATTATAAAGTAAATAAAGAAGTATTGAATTGTACATATATAAAATGTTATTGTATGTTGTTCTGTTCTTGTTCCTACCAATTAAATAATTTTAATACATTTTGTAATGCGCAATGTTTTACGTGTCTTCCACATCGAAATGTGTTATTAGAATCGAGATTTTCGAGAGATGTAATGTTTTCATAATGTGTATCGATGGATTCACTCACAATGTAGTCGTTATTTAAAATATCATTTAACCACTTGCGTTTTTCCAACTCCTTCACAAATACGATTGCTGAACTGTCTCCTTTTACTGCTTCCGTGATTAATTGTCTCATCATACAGTACGGTACCATTCCATCGTTCCATTGTAATCCATGATGATTTATCATTAACCATGTAGCACACCTTTTATCAGATGTGGTTAAGAAACGCCATGGCATGGGACTTTTGAAGATGTAATGCGTAAGAATGTTTCCATTCTTTAATATGGCTACTTCCTTAACGACGAATTGTTT